CAGGGCTCCGTTTGGGGTCACTCCTGAAGGGCGGTGCTGATGGGGGGCCCATACCGCCGCTGCCGCCGCGGTGCGTGGCTGTGCGTGCGTCGGCGAGCCGGAGTCGCCGCGACGGCGGACCCAGATGCTCTCCGCCGCCCCGCCCCGCGTGCACTTTGACCTGCCGCCTTGCCTACCCCCCGGCCGCCTTGACATTGGCAGCTCGTTTGCCGGGCCGATGGCGGCGGCGATGACGTTTCCGTCGCGGCCAGTCGTGCCGAGCCGAGCTGTTGGGTTACACCACTAATCAGATATGCCCCCCCTCCCCCTCCACCCCTTCCGCACCCAGCTTTCCTTCCTCTTCCACGCCACGGGCCGGACGGGCCGCGGTGCGTCGCGCTGCCGCCAGCCTGCCGCGCGGCTCTAGGACACATTTGCATTGGCGCTGGTGCCATCGCCATGCCACATTGGCGGCGCGATCGGGAGTTGGCTCCGGACGAGGTACTCCGCGGGGCATTTCCACTCACAACAGGCGACACCCCCAGCCGATTGCTTCCGAAGAGCGCGATCCTATACCTCCCGTATAGCTCCGTCATTGTCGCACTCATTGGGCAGGCGCCCCCTTAGCGCTCTTCGGAATCAGTCTGCAGCCCGCGCCGGCTGGCGGCGGTGGCAGTGTCACTCCACTTACTTCCCCGAGTGACTGACGGTGACGCGTGACGCGCGTCGAGCTGCACTCCAGTGACTCACTCGCCCGCGCCGGGGAGGCCATTCCTCCGCCACGACTCAATTGAATTGAATCGAATCACCTGCTGCGCCGGCGACGGGCGACAACGATGCCGTCGCGGCGGCGGGGGCAGAGGAGCCGGGCACAGCGGGGGCGGCAGGGGCTCACCGTACGCCGATCCGCCCCCCGGAAATCAGAGAATGATGACGCCATGGGGGCCATGGGGGCGGTCTGCCTGGCCGCCCTGCCACCCGCCGCCACGCCAACCACCCCCTGGACAAGGCGGGGGCGCGGGGGCGGTGACCCCACTTTATAAAACCTCATCTACTGGGCGGGGCAGTCGCCGTGGGGTGGGGACAGGGGCGAGGCCGTCGCCAAGGGGTAGTAGTAGTAGTAGTAGTAGTACTCGGCGTAGCTATGGCGACGGGGCGCGCCGACCGTGGGGCACGATGGACTCCGGCGCGGCGCCCCCGCGTCCACCCCAACCCTACACGCGCCCCTCGCCAATCAGATGATGTGTCACGGCCGCCCCCGCCGCCCCCGGCCTGTCCGGCCCCACCGCCTACGCGCAGGTTCATTAAAGAGCTCGTGCGTATTTATCCTTGTTCCACTCGGAGACGACATATTTTTCGAGACCCGTCCACATCGATCACTATAGCGCGGGGGCAGCGGGATAAACGAGAGGGACGGCTGTCCGCCGCCTGCGATGATTTGGGTCCCTGCGATTTAACTCCCCCCGCCGCCACCCCCGTCCCCGTGTGGAACACGTCGGCCTGGCCAGGCCGACCAGGACGCCGTCATCCCGCGCGTCCAGGTCCAGGCTCACGAAGGCGGCTCGGCCCCATCCATGACGATCGAAAATGACAATTTTCTAAGTTAAGGGCTATACAAGTAACACACCTAGTGCGAAGCGAAGGACTTTGACAAGCTATGCAGAATTTAAAGACTCGCGGAGTGGATATATTGTATCGCATAGACTGCTCGCGACTGGCCCTCTCTCGCCGCGGCGCCGCCGCTCCGCCGCCTCTTCTGGCACGAATGGGGGAGATTATGGGCGTGTCTGCAAACATCTAAGCCAGCGCGGCGTGGCGTGGCGTGGCGTGGCGGCGCTCAGTCGTGTAGTTTAGCGTGTAGTGGTGTGAAAACCTACCAGAGAGATAAGGTGGTTTCGTTGCCAGGGCGGCACGGGGCACGGCGAAGCAAAAAGCAGCCGCGCCCGCCACGCCAGAGCAGAGCCCGCACAGGAATCAATGGGAAATGCATCGTGACAACTCGAAGCGCGCGAACGTATGTGTGTGTGTGCAGCGTCAGGCCTCGCCGCCGTGTGTGTGGGTGGGGCGACGGGGCAAGCGGGCAGTGGGCCACTGATTGTTTTCGTTTAGCTCTGAGCCGAGTGGGTCCGCGGCGCCGCGGGGTCTGCAGTGCACGGCGTCAAGTCGTTTGCGTCAACCTCAGATCGCGCGCGTCGCGGTCGCGGGCCTATGGCCCCCACAAGTGGCAGAGGAGGAGGCACTTCTCGGGGTCGTTTGAGACGCGGCCGCGAGCAGTGTCGTCTAAGCGTGCCATTCCCTGGTGGCCGGGCCTGGTCGGGCTGTGTGGACTCGGTCGGCAGCCCGGTTGGCAACACGCCGGGTGCCGCCGGGCCGGGTGTTGACGGCGCCTTCACGAGGGAGCCTTGCCCGCGGAGGACCAGGACCGGTTATTCACAAACAGCACAAACAGCATCAGGTGGAGATGAGGAGGCTGTTGTCTTTGTGTTCTGGTCCGGACGGGGCCAGGCTCCGAGCCGGACGCGGAGCGGGGTGTTCTTCTGAGCGAGGCGGCCGGGTGGGGCGCGGCGGTGCGACGGCGGGACGTTCGGCTTGGCCAGGGGAGACGGTGCGGGACGGACAAGTAGTAGCCCCTCAGTTGGACCGCATTTAGATTTGGCCGAGTATTTTTAGCGGTCCGCCGCGGCGGGAAGGGAAACTACTACTGTGCAGCTCGCTCCTCTCCGCGCGCCCCGCACCACTCCGCCCCTCCGCCCCTTTGCGGCGCCGCCTAGAGCGCCCCGAGACTGCCCCAACAGAGATCCCCACGCCCTTTGACCCCGGCCCCGGCGTGGTCCGGGCGAGAGGCGAGGCTGCGGAGGTCGCTGGACCGCCAACGACCTGTTGAGCCCGTGTGTGACTTACCTCCCGGCAACCGCGACGCGACGCCAGCCTCGCACCCCCGCCACCCCCAGCGCCAGGCGCCGCCGAGGCGCCACCCGCGCCACGTCCAGCATCACTCTCCTCTCCCCCCTCTCGCTCTCTCTCCCTTTCACGCACACTCACAGGCTGGGCAGGGGGCCCAACGGCCCCTCTCGCTCGGCGCCCTACCCAGCCCAGCTGCCCAGCTGCCTAGCTTCCCAGCTCCGAGCTCGGAACAGGCGCGCAACAGCCGCGCGGAACTTTCCTGTTGAGCAGAAAACCTTCGGGGGCCTGGAGGACTGGTCCAGCAGAGGCACGACCGTTTTTCTCTCCGCGTGGAGGACGCTGGCCGTCCCGTCCCGTCCCCGCCTCACCTCGCGGCCCCGCCCCGCAGCGGCCGGAACCCTACACGGGCTTCGAACGCCGATATATAGCGGACCTATATCCCCCTTATCCACGGTAATGACCCGGTCCCGGTCGAAGTGGGGGGGGGGGAGGGGGGTCGTCTTCTTATCAGCGGAGATAGCCGAACGCACGAGGGCGGCGCGCGGGCGGCCGGGAGCGCGGACCAGCCTCCTGCCACAGGTGCGAAAAAAAATGTGTGTTTATAGCTGATAGCGTTTAATCATATCGACCCGTACCGATTTATCAACTCTGCGCGTGTGTTTGTGTGTGCGTGTGCGAGCGAGCGCGCGCGCGCGTGTGTGTGAGAGAGAGGGCGGGGCGGAACTAGAGCAGGTCCCTCACTGACGTCAGGGTGTGGCCTGCCGCCGCCTGTCCGCCCCCCCCCCCGCCGCACCTCATCGGCGACGACGAACACGGACTCGTCAGCGAGATGTGCTTTCCATGTCGTCGTCCTCCTGAAACGCCCTGTTCCCCCTACCCTCCTCCCCGCCGCCCCCACTCGCCGACTGTATACTCTGCAGGGGCAGCCAGCAGCCAGCAGCAGAATGCGAAAAAACAATAGGACTCCCTGTCGTTTGGACTAGTCCGGGCTGACGGGCGGCAGACAGGCGGACGCAGGAGCGTGGCGGGGCGTGGCGACCAGGAGTTGGCCAAGGTGAGGAGGGCAGCGGAGACGCGGAGCCGCGGACGCGCTGAACGTCCATTCCAGAACGGCACGTGCTCGTCGTGGCTCATTGGCCCCCGCGGCGGGGCGGGGCGGGGCGGGGCGGGGAGCCGCCTGGCGCCAACAGAGCGGTGTCCTCGAGGTGGAGGTGTGTGCCACGCATGCCTCCGCCCAGCCTAAACTGCGCTATGCCATTCTTGTCTGAATCAATCACTTCTCGTGCGCACTTTCTCGGAAGCCAGTGTTGTTGTCTCGTGATATAGAGTTCCTTTACTTACCTTGTCGACTCTGTCACTTGTCACTTGTCAACCACGGCCGCCATTCATCCATCTTTAATGTTGCCTTCATAGACGAGGGCCGGGTCTGTTCGCCTGGGGGCACGATGAGGAAGTTGCCCGATAAGAGGAACAAGAAGAAGGTAGCACTGAGGAGGTGGCGTGGCGTAGCGCCGTCCCTAAACAAAGCAGAAGATGAGCGACCGTCCAGCAGAGGTTAGGATGCGTGTCGTTAGATTTCAAACAGTTTAGAAGGGGCCTATGCACCCAGCACCTTGGTACCACCTATACCAAAGCTTTTTACGACAGT